CCATATAACAATGTTTTAATGTTTTGGTTAGAACTAAGCAAATAAAGCAAATTGACAATATATTGCACACAATTATGAAATAGAACCTGTTTACTTGATTTTATGACATAATAGAACAGGTAAATTGGTAGTAAAAATCTAAATGGAGACGTGACTGCCATACTTACAAACACGCTAGTCCAAATAGGCGTACCGATTTGGTAGCCCCAGCAGAGAGCTACCATGAAGACGATGCCAAAAATGATGACAACAACTGCTGTTATTATGAGCGCGATAGAGAGGTAAAATGCCCAATTCAGGAAATAGTCCCTTACTCGTTCTTCCTGTGCCTTGGTAGACATTTTCAAATTCTAAAAAATAAAATATATTGTCATGAATTAGTTTTTACGTATCTGTTAATCGACTTAATTAGCTGAATGGCTGTGTTATGTCTGTCATCGTTTAGGCAGGCGAGGTCCTGGACGGAACTTGGCTCAATGATTTGGAACTAATTACGAGATAACCGTCGCTATTCTGACTACGATTTCTGACAGTTGGTATCCGTAGTTATTAATGTAGTGAACGATTAATCAAAAGATATGACGTGTTCAGTACTTAGTGTGATTGGCTTTATGATTGAAAGTTACGCCCTAGAGTCTTTTTACTGTTTTGTAATTGTTTAGATAATGAATAAAGAGAGTTTGAGTTGGTCTTGGCGAGTACACCAGAACAGACGCAGTCCTGGAGAGTCTAAGTCCAGTCCTAGAGAGTCTTGGGCGAGTCTTGGGTCAGCCTTGCGATAGTCTTGGGGATTTTTCCCCAGGGCGCTGTGTCTTATAGAGCGCTCGACTGATCGACTAAGACGAGAGTTGAAACGTATTTCGTTACGTGCGTCTATTTGACTGTAAAGCTTAAGTGACTTCCCCGATCCCGCACCTCGAGGGGACGCGATATAGAGACGAGACGAGATTTTCCCCTGACACGTGTGGAGAACCCCATAGAGGAGAATTTACCCCTGATAATATACTAATGATAATCATTTCGTCGTACGAGAATACAATGCTAAATTAATCGACAAGGCATGCCAAGCAACCTTTCTCTGATTAGGAATGCCGACAGACGAGGCTACGCAAATAACATTGAATACCCTCGCATAGACTGGCAAAGTCGGGACTTTTTTTTGTTTAAAAAAAATAAATGTCAATTTAGCCTTTTTAGCGTGATCACGAAAACTAGCGTGACCGCGAAAGAAATCCCTTCGCGGTAACGTTAGTATTTGCGATCACGCTAAAAGGTCTTAAAACAATTAATTATTTCCATACAATATACCTTGACTTATCAACCCTGTTAAGCATTACTTATGGAACGATAGATTTAATATCACGAACATTTTTTTCACCAGGTAAAGTGACTGCAGTTTGTTTTCGTCTCTGTGCATAATTGCTAAAATGGCGACGATAGAAAATCATTAGCACCACAACGAGGTCACTGTAAACACATATACGTGTAATACGGTAATCTGAACTATGTATATAGTCATGTCATCAAATGGATGGTTTCGCTTGAAGATGACGTCAGCACACCCGTTTGGGTTTCGAGGATACTCGTAAATAACCCATGACAAGGCTTGCCCCGTGTAAATTTCATTCATAGTTAACACGAATTTCTAACTACCTATTGTTTTCGCGCTGATAGTAGAAATTCAATGTATGCCAGTAATCTGCTGATAATTAACATTAGTATTCTACTGTATTTGGATGGAATTGTGTTACACTGACAGATGATTGAATTACAGTTACAAATTATGTTCATGCCTAGAACAATTTACATTTCGTTTTTTATTACGTCATGAAAGTATACTAATTTGTAAATTAGATTTTTACCAAATTGTGACATTAATCTTCTATTTGATGTCAATCCGAAAGAGCTTTGTGTCAAAAATATGTCATCAGAACTAATAACTTGTTGTCGAAGTCAATAATGTATGGCAATTTTAAAAATACACATTGACAAGTACAGATTTCGACATACGCCTTCAACTGAATGGTGTTCTTCAATCGGTGGATGGAATTATATTTAAAGGAAATAAATTTGTCATTTGATTTTGTTTCTGTAGGCATACGAAATATTTAAATATATATTATTATAAATATATAATTTGAAATCAATATTTGTAAAACAGGATATGTTGTTCGTGACGTCATAAACAATGATTTACATACCGCAATAGAATAAGAAAATCAGTTACAACTGAATGGGCTCTTTACATGTGCCTAAAAAAATTGAATTTCTCACATTGCACTGCGCTCAAACGTCAGTTCGTGAGCTCTCTGTGGAACAAGTATTTACACTCTCGGTAATTCGTTATTCTTCATTCAATTGTAAACATTAAATATATGTCCCATAATCACTCTGTCAACAAACATTACTAAATAACCTTTCGAATAAAAATTATCTTCACTTCATTGTCAACGATTTCCCGATTTCTATCTTTGTACTGTTGTAGTTTCTATACATCAGTCGGCATTTATAATTCCTTTAATAAGTTATCACTACTGTTTAGTGTAAGTGTTAATGGGAAATGTACATATAAACACAGTGTATATTCAACAGTTGTTCATATCATAACGATATATGATCTGGCCTGCCTCAAACGGATAAAACGGTGTTTTACATTGAGTGAAAATATGGTCTGATATAAACTGGTGATACGTTCTCGCAATAACGTTATCTCAGCCACAGTCTGGGTCATTTGTAACGCCTGTACGGAATCAGTGTTTATAATCAGATTCCACATGAACCGCAAAAAAACAAACTATCGATTTGAATAACCGAAACACACTTACCTAATTATCATATATAATATTCTCACAATCAGGATCAGGTCGATTAACGTAAAGTACAAAGCATGAAAACAATAGCTGAAAACAGTATTTTCACATGCAACGTTCGGAGGTTGGTTCTTTTGGGCGAGTTAACCTACTAAAAATAAACATGGCGGGTGCAGTATTGTTGCGTAGTTACAGTTTAACTAGGCGCTACTTGCTGTACGATGTAAAGATTACACTGTACGATCAGCTATGTCAAGTGTACAATAAGTCAACGATCGTAAATATTGGGAAATACTGCACTTTCACAACACCCATTTTCAATACGTCATTTTATAAACACGGCATCATATATCATTTCTTCGTTTGTTTGTTTGGTTTTATGCAAATATGAATATAATGACATATGCAAATACTTATTTGTGTGATTATTGATTATAATAACATATATTAGTACGATCCTGGTTATTGCTAAGAACTGTACTGTAATAAATAAGTTTAAAGGGTTTCAGTATATTCGAATTTTACAATATATACATGACAATCGCATGACAAATACCTGTTAACCATGCAAGGTGTTCAATAATTGGCCTGACTCTCAATAGTTGTGATCGGTCAGCCAATGACAAACATGCTTATAAATCGCCTGGCCAATCATGTTTTTTTTTTCATTCAATTATTATTTACACAGTTTATCGCTGTGACCTGGTAATACCCAGAAGCTAATTTATTTAGTCACACAAGTTACATATTAACCTTCACCTGATTGCCACACAATGCAAGAGGGCGTTTGTCAATATGAAACCTCTCATACGCTATCATATACATATTCAGTTCTCGATGTTTTGTTATTTTACTTCATAAACATTTATTTATTACTCAATTACAGTAGATACCAAATAGAATCAGTAAATAAAAACATATATAAGTAAGTAAGTAATTTATTATAGTGACCTGCAGCTCAGAGAACTGCCCAGCCCAGTGGACTTATAAGTCACCTTAAATAATAACGATTACATTCACAAATAAAGGGTATGAAAGAGAGCTTGAAATAATATATCAACAATACAATCGTGTAGTTCATAAAAATTCAGACGTACAACAAATTTCTTCTTTTCTAAAATGCCTTTTCTATAAAAAGAGCAAGTTTTCTTATTGGCCCTGAAAATAAACGAACCAGTATTTGTTCCCGTGATATGCCAGTTATTTCATTAAGAATTGAATCTAGATACTCATGCCTCAATTCATTGTATTGCTGACAGTCAAACAAAAAATGCATTTCGTCCTCAACAACGTTTGCATCACAAA